CGTATCCTGACACTTGGGCTCTACATCATATTAAGGAACGTTATGTCTTAGAAAAGTAACAAATTATCATCCCACTTAGGACAAGGGGGACTGGAGAAAAGGTGGGAACTATTAGGATCAAACTTTTATGTTTTCTTGAGCACCTATCTTGTGTAAAGCAGGCCTCACTAGAGCCAGGTCTCTTTAAGCATAGGCTACAGGTAGCTCTTAATAAGGGCCTGGTTAGAACCATTTCAAAAATATAATCTTTCCTTTGGTTCACATATACCCATGATGTATAATTCTATAGATTTTCATTTTTTACTCATGACTGATGGCCCCTGTCTAGGAATCCATAAAATGAATTATTTAGGCTTGCCAAAGTGTTTGATATTCACAAATTAATACATTAGGAGAGCTGACTTGACTAAGGAATGATGTATTCTACTAAAATGACTGGAATATTTAGAAATAGTTCCTAGTGCGCATATGACCCTAGAGATAATTAAAATTCTTGGAAACAATACGTTCTCAATACAGAAGGAGTTTTGCTTTGGTTAGCTGTGATTTTTCATTGTTATTCTCCTAGTATTAATTAGTTTATATTTATAGCTCTTCCATTAAGAGTTTGTGTGTGTGTGTGTGTGTGTGTGTGTGTGTGTGTGTGTGTGTGTGCGTGTGTGTGTATGCTTGTTTAGCACACAGACTTGGGCTTCTATTTAGTTCTCTCTAACTCCTATGACCATTCACTTCTCTCTCTATTGAAAAGCAGAAGAGGTGATGTTCATGCCTCACACAGATTTTTTTTTCAACATTAAGAGGGCTTCACACAAGCCTGCCAGTTGTTTTCTGCTGATATGGAGTGACTACAATCTTAATAATCAAAGGACGCAGAGCCAGAAACTTGGTTCTATTGGGGGATAGTTTATTTTCATGGTCATCATCTGTGCTGATGCCTTTCTATTTAGTAATTAATTTTTTGGTGTCTATTAATTTCATTTTATTATCAAATAACAAAAAGGAAAAAATAAAAACAGAAAACAGCCCTTTGAAGTTTAGAAGCAGGAGAATCAGGAGTTCAAAGTCACTCTCTGCTACATACTGAATTGATGGCTAACCTGTGCTGCAAGTGACATTTATAGAAGAAAATTTTAAAAATTTGCAATTGTGACCTTTAGCTGATTGGGAATTCTCGGTACCCAGGTGTGGAAGCAGATACAATCTGTGGAAGGTGGCCAGTGTTTCTGGGAACTCAGTGCATCTTGGGGAGGGCAGGGACTCTGCCCTTGTGGGCCCAGCTCTCTGGGTAGAGTCATCAGCTGTGCTCATGGCTGGATGAGGACTCTGCCGGGTTGATGGGAATAAGCCTGGAATGCCAGCTTTGCCTATAGCAGCAGTAGGGCCACCCATGGTAACCATGGGGTATCAAGTTGAGCCTGGCGGAGTGGTGCGGGCAGGGTGGCCTCAGCTCCTGCTCGAGCATGCGCTGGATGAACCAAGTCTCAACTTGCTCCTCCTTCAAGTTCAGCCTGGCTGCGAGGGCCTTGCGAGCCTCATGGTCAGGGTAGGGTTCCATCTTGAAATGTTCCTCCAGCTGCCACTCCTGCTCCCAGTGCTGTTGCTCATGGGAACCCAGGGCACTGGCATTCTGGGAATTCAGAGGCTCTCCTATCCTGGGTGAAGCTCAGCTCTCACAGATGAAGCTCGGTTCTCCCGTTTGAACTCTAGTAATTATTTTTAAGACCAATGTTGGTAATAAAATCATTTTCCCAGGAAGGCAGTGTTTAGCATCTGCACTCTTGCTCCAGGGAAACAGGAAACAGACCAGTCTTCAGCATCTTGTCTCACACCAGGAGAGAGAGCTGAATGACTTGTCCAGAGTAATAAATGCTCTGTCACACCTTGCCACTTAAATATTTTATAACTTTTAAGCTCTATTAAAGGAAGTGATGTCAAGAGCATTTAGTGGCGATAGCTTCTAGCCATGACTTTTTATTAAGAAGGATTACACCAGTCACCTAACTGATGATGAAGAGGGAGAAGATATCACCGTGCTCAAGATGGGCTTATTCTCTCAGCCCCTGGAATGGTTGATAGAAAGGTGGGTTGATAGAAAGGAGGGGAGAATCTTCAGGCACGACTCAACTGAAATTTTTCATCTGGATTTCCTTCATGAAGAGACATTGGTATAGAAATGAACTGTGACTAGGACAGTTTTGTTTTGGTTAATGCCAGTCTTCACATGTCTAAAGAAGATCCATTATTACGGAGTAAAATCATTCTATATACTCTCTCTCTAGCCATCTTATGTGTTGGATGGTGGGAAGAATACATCTTCACACTTAGACTTGTCTCTGAGGCCACACTTCTTGACTTATTCATTAGCACCAGATCCATAAGAATTTTAGGGGCTCAGAAAAGTGTTTCAAATTTCTTTTAAAATCAGAGAGAAAACGCCAAACCTTACGTCAAACAAAATATTTTCACATTTAATTTTTTTATGGTTGGGGGCGTGCTGTGTGCTAGAGAGCTTCAGTTGTCAACTTGAAACACCTGGAAAGAAGAGGGAGCTTCAACGGAGGAATTGTCTCCATTGGACTGGCCTATGGCCATGTCTGTGGGATATTTCTTGATTATTGAGTCACGTGGCAGGGCCTAGCCCACTGTGGGTGGTGCCACCCCTGGGCAGGTGGTTCTTGGTTGTATAAGAAAGCCGGCTTAGAGCAGGGCAGAGGAGCAAGCCAAATAAGCACTGTTCCTCCATGGTCTGTGCTTCAGCTCCTGCCTCCAAGTTCCTGCCCTGACTTCCCTCAGTGATCTGGGAGATATAAGATAAAATAAACCCTTTCCTCCCGAAGTTGGTTTTGGTCAGTGTTTTTATCACAGCAATAGAAAGTAATTAGGATAGAAATTGGTACCAGGATTGTGGGGTATTGCTCTGATGGATATGACCATATGTGTATGGAGGATTGTAGGAATTTTTGGAGCTTTTTGGAAAAGTGCTTGGAGTTCAGTGAGCTGTTCTGTAGGAACTTAAAAGATAATACTGAAAGATGTGTAGATGATGGAGGCCTGGGATATGAAACTTCAAAGAGAAGCAAAGACTCTATCAGGGCTGTTTGTATGATATATTTTTATATTAATTTTTGAATTAAGAATTTTTGGAAATGAAACCTTTGTGCCTTACTGGGATAATCAATGCTGGTCAACTGGGGCTAAAAAATCAGCTGTAAGGAGCAAGAGATCAGTATCATAGAGTGAAATCTTCTGGGAAGTATTTCCTCAGGGTCAATACACAGAAGCTGTGGTCCAGAGGGGGCCAAGGCTGCACATCAAGCTAGCAACAGAACTTGGCAACGTGTAAGAGTCTCCCAGGTGGTACTGGTATTGAAGGCATGAAGGGATCATGGAGAGAATCTGAGAATTGGTACTCTGAGAAGCCAGGAGAGGCCATTGGTGAAGGTGCAGCCTCAACTGCAGTGGAGACCCCAGTATATTTGAAATGTCAGGACCATGGGATGACTACCAAGGGCAGCAGCAAGTATGGAGGGGAGCCAGACTGAGCCTACCAGACAAGCTGTGTGTGCTATGGATGGCAGAGCCAGAGAAATAGAGCTGACCAAGCCCCTTGGAGCCCAGAAGATCATGAGTGGATCCCAGATGTCCAACACTTAACTACATTTCTGGACTCATTTTTTTTTTTTTTACTTAAGTGTGCCCAGTTCCCTTTTGAAATAAGATAGCACCTAACTTGTTTGGGATTTTACAGAAGCCTACAGCTAAGAGACTTTTTAAAGAGACTTTGAACTTTCAAAATGTTTGAATTTTTAAAAGCCTGTGGGACTTTTAAAGTCATACTATTTTATCATAATATTAATAGTAACATAAGATTTGGGGAATAAGAAATGGAAAGGTTGTGGTTTAATAGTGGATTGTTTGTGTGTCGAGTTGACAAGGGGTCATTTGTGCTGGATAGTTTCAGCTGAAAACTTGACATACCTTGGTAGAGGGAACCTCAACTAAGGAATTGTCTCCATTGGATTGACCTGTAGCCATGTCTATGGGGGTGTTTCTTGTTCCATGTTTTTAAGTAATGTGAGAGGGCCCAGCCCACTGTGGGTAGTGCCAGACCTGAAAAGGTGGTCCTTGGTTGTATAAGAAAGCTGACTGAGGACAGACTAGAGGAGAAAGTCAGTAATCAGAGGTCCTCCATGGCCTGTGCTTTAGCTCCTGCCTCCAGGTTCCTGCACTGACTTTCCTCAGTGATGAACTGTGACTTGGGAGAGAGAAGGTAACATAAACCCTTTCCCTCCCAAGTTGACTTTTGTCAGGGTTTTTATCACAACAATGGAAAATAATTTTTATTGGTTTTTATTTTTTTT